CGCGACAAAGTCCGAAATCGGTTTGTGCAAATGTAAACGCTGCCTTAGAGGGAAAGGTTGAAATGTAGGCGTGGTCCGTCGCGAACAAAAAACGTTCCCAATTGCTACTGGGATCCAAAAATGCCAAAATATTCCCACTAACTACGTGGAAACTAAAGTTTTCTAGAGAGTTTTCGCGACAAAGTTCGAAAGCAATCAGCAGATGTAAACACTCCCATAATGGGCAAGCTGATGATTTGGGCGTGGTTGTCCTTAAACGAAAAATCTTCCAAATCTCCCCCAGAATCCAAAAATGCCCCAAACGTTCCAGTGGCTGCCCTGAAAACTAGAGTTTTCTAGAGAGTTTTCGCGACAAGTTTCGAAAGCAATCAGCAAATGTAAACACTCCCATAACGGAGAAGGGGATGATTTGGGCGTGGTTTTGCCTAATCAAAAAACCTTCCAAGCCTTCCAATCAACGCAAAAATGTCCCACACTTGCCACCCCCCCTTCTCAAAGTGACGCTTTCGGGAGAGTTTTTGCGGTAAAGTGCAAAAGCAACCACCAGCTGCCAACCGCGCCCTAATGGCGAGGTTGCCAACTGAGGCGTAAACTTTTGTAAACAAAAATTTTTTCCAATCTTCCAAACAAACCAAAAAAATGCCTTTGGGACTTCAGAAAAATTCACAGCTGGTGCAATGAGCTTCTAAAGCATCCAACAAGTTTCCACTGAGCAAACCGCCCAAAAATTCAGTTCTTTACGCTGCAACGTGGCAATGTTGCCAATTTTCGCCTCCAGTAGGACCTACTGAACAAGTTTCGTGCAAAACAATCGGGGGCTAGGAGTCAATTTTTTGAAATACTGAGGCCTGAAGCATGCGAAAGCCACTGCCAGAGCCCCCAACTGAAAATCCCCAGGAAATGCGACGTTGCCTACTCCCCAAAGGGAAAATTTTGCTACAGTCTCATTGCCAGGGGTACTGGGGACATTTCATGTCCCCACAATGTTTTCCATGAATGGACGAATTCCCATCGATCCGGGCAGTTGATGTTTTACAGCCCTTTGTGGCAACACTGGCCAGGAAACACTGAGAAAAAGTTTAAAATCCCCCGGGTAAACGATAGGGGCCGCCACTGCGGTCTAGCTGCTGAAGTTCACCGTTCCACGAATCTAATTAAATTGATACAAACCGCTCGATAACGGGGATTTAACTATTTGCCTCATTATGTAACTGTTTTTATCAGTTGTCGAATCGGGGCTCTCACGTAACTTACGAGTTTAATTAGCAAATAGTCAGCAGTCGATTCTATCATTTCGGATTCCGCAATTTATGCATTATTCCAACGGTTTTTGCGATTGCAAAGGTCAAAAACCGCTGATTATTCAATTGCTGCTCAAACCGTCTGCGACTTTTTCACTGATGAGGCAACAGCGCTTTTCGGGCATTTTCTGACTAGCTGCGACGTTTGGCCGCATTTTTGGTTCGGGTGGTTCAAAGTGTCAAGTAAAGGTTTCCTTGGTTTTTTGGGCGTTAAAGTTTCAGTGGACGTATAAATTTCCATGAGTAGGTCAAGAGTGTTTTCCTGAAAACACCGGCAGATTCKGAGAAAATGCGGTGGCAACACCGCGTTTTTTTTACATTTTTTCAAAGCTGATCCAGTTGCGCATAWTTTGCTTCCWGCGRTCGAATGCASRGGARAAACTCTWGTACTCTTTTTTGAGACTTGAACTTTTTGAGACCACGCTTACAGTCCTCAAGTGAAAACAWGCTGCTAATTCAAGATTTTTGCCTGGCAACACCGCGTTTTTTGCCATTTTTGCAAAGTTTATGCCGACGTCCATATTTTTCCTTCCGATCCTCAATTGCATAAGATAAACCGTTGTGCCTTTTTTTCAGCCTTGAACTTTTTGAGATCACATTTACAGTCCTCAAGTGAAACCATGCTGCTAATTCAAAATTTTTGCCTGGCAACAGCGCATTTTTTTCCATTTTTGCAAAGCTCATGCCGACGCCCATATTTTTCATTCCGATGCTCAATTGCATAGGCTAAACGTTTGTGCCTTTTTTTGAGACTTGAACTTTTTGAGATCACATTTACAGTCCTCAAGTGAAAACATGCTGCTAATTCAAGATTTTTGCCTGGCAACACCGCGTTTCTTACCATTTTTGCAAAGCTCATGCCGACGCCCATATTTTTCTTTCCGATGCTCAATTGCATAGGCTAAACGTTTGTGCCTTTTTTTGAGACTTGAACTTTTTGAGACCACGTTTACAGTTCTCAAGTGAAAACATGCTGCTAATTCAAGATTTTTGCCTGGCAACACCGCTTTTTTTGCCATTTTTGCAAAGCTCATGCCGACGCCCATATTTTTCCTTCCGATGCTCAATTGCATAGGACAAAGCTGTGTGTCTTTTTTTGAGACTTGAACTTTTTGAGATCCCATTTACAGTCCTCAAGTGAAAACATGCTGCTAATTCAAGATTTTTGCCTGGCAACACCGCCTTTTTTGTCATTTTTGCAAATTTCTTGCCGAGTTCTATATTTTTGCTTCAGGTACTCAATTGCATAGGATAAACGTTTGTGGCTTTTTTGGAGACTTGAACTTTTTAAGACCACGTTTACAGTCATCAAGTGAAAACATGCTGCTAATTCAAGATTTCGGCCCGGCAACACCGCGGTTTTTGACATTTTTCGTAAAGCCTATCGAACAGGCCATGTTTTTGGTTCCTGCTCTTGAATGTATAGGATGAACCCTAGAGCTATTTTTGGGTCCTTGAATTGTTCGAGACTACTTTTACAGTTCTCAAGTGAAAACGGTCAGGAAAATCGGGATTTTCTCCCGGCAACACCGCAATTTTTTGATGAATTTGTGTTTCTATGGACAATTGCACGCTTTTCTGTTTGGCAAGTCCGGGTTGAAACCCCAGAGTTTTGCATTTTTTTGGGTGTGGAACTTCCCAAGATAACTTCAAGTGTGCTCAACTGAAAACATCGGAAAAACCGGGCGAATTTCAGCGGCAACACCGCATTTTTTGACGTTCTCTTGCAGCCTGTCAACTGCGGAATATTTTTGCTGCCCAGCATTTAATGCCTTGGG